TTAATGAGTAAATCACTTTGCCATTCAGTGTCACATATCTATATTATTCAGACATTGCTGTTCATAGTTACTAACATAATTTCAAAATCTAATTACAAAATCTATTCATATGGAGACACTACTCTTTTTTTCCCAAGCATATTAAAAACAAAGTTTGGAGGCATTTGTATTTCTAGAAACTGCTAGTTTATATTCAAATCACAAGTAAAACACTTAAATTTGGGAAATGATTTTGTACATTAAGCTATCAGCATGTAATAAATTACCCTCAAATGCACATCTTTATGTATTATTTGTATTAAATTATCTTGATTTGGTTAAGCACCCATGCAGTATTTCAGTTTAAATTACATCTGAGTTGATATGACCTAATGTTTAAATGGACCTATAGGAAATTGATTAAAAATTAGGTATCCCAACTGGAGTCTAAAATAATTATTTCTTGAAATAATTTTGAATGGACAAGCAGCTTTCCAGCACGACCATGGCTCCAGAGGCACAAGGACTTAATTCGGAGCCCGGCAGCTTGCGGCAGAAAAGTGAATGGACTATATGTTAAACTACAGCAACACGCCTCCCCAGGAAGGAAAGGATGTCTGTCTCTCCCCTTCACCTTCCCCCCCAATCTCCAGCAGCAAGGTGGCCGCCGCCTCAGAGCTTATTGGAAAGCCAGGTATGTCACCAGGCGGTGACAGGGCAACTGCAGCCTCATGGGAAGGGGAGAGGAATTGAATCGTCCTTTACGACCTACCAAGGTCACGAGTTGCCCCCTCTGAGTGGCTCTCTGGCACGGTTATAGCACCAGACACACAGAAAGCAATCTTGTAATTATCTGGCTCTTGGAAGAAATCCCTCCAGACTTAATTAGTAAAATCTCAGAAATCCAAAATCATATGGTTCCCATAACCAGCTACAGAAAACAAATTATTTCACAATGTCTTTTCAGCAGTTCTGATTGTTGGGGGGAAATTTTTAAAAAATAATGGTGCATATTTTGTCGAAATAATGAATGCAACCAAAGTAGAGAGAGAGTTAAGTAGAAATCATCTGCCTCACAGGCATTGGGAGGGGTGAGAGGGGGTTATATTGGGGTTCTTGTTCATGAAAAATAAGTACTAGTGAAGTGAAGGGTGTTTGATCATTGTATGACCGAGACTTAAACCTGAAAGCATTATAGCTTTTCTCACAGTGATTCAATAAATAAATATAACAAAAAATAATTTTGAATGGGGATATATACTTGAGGGTCAAAGGCTCATGCCTTCTATGAAAATAACTCAGGAATTCTTTTGCTTTGCAAATGCTTTGAATAAAAAAGAATTTAAAAAAAACCAAGACACCTTGTAGATAGGAAAACTGTGGTCAGCCATTGCGCTGTGAGAGGAACAGTTCTGGCATGACCCTCTCAAACCCAAACATTCAGAAGTCTGCTCGACTGCATCTTCCTAACGATCTAGTAAAAAACAAACTAAGCATTATATTATATACTGAGAGTCAGTTGTAAGTGGAGGGAACACACATGCTTTACCTAGGAAGATTCAGGATTGATTATAGAACCACATATTCTGCTGAGAAACCCCTCAGCACAGAGCCAGGAGAGCTCCTGCACACCACAGGCAAGACCAAGGAAATAAACACACAAAATAGTAGAACAAATCATGAAAAATATATGTACTCTCATTAGTATTCAAAAGATGATTCTCTTGAACTCATCTGATGAGCAACCTTCTTGCAGCAAATGCAGCTCATCGTTTTGCCAAGCTTCCTTCTGTTAATACCTACTTTCCTACAGAATTATTAAGAGCTATTACTTTTCATGGTCTCAGGGCTAGATATTATCTTCACTATAATGCATACAGATTCTTTTACACATCACCCTTGCCCCAGTAATTCGCGGATGGCCTTGAACTTGCATTCTTATTAACACATGGAAAGAAATTAAAAGAGTAGTGAAAGCATTTGCCTTTTCCTACCTTTCAACCCTGCTGACTCAACAGTTTGTCCTACATGCCACAACAGCAACTTCCGTTCCCTACTAAGCACATGAAGGCAAGAGGGATAGTTATGTAGCTGAAGGCTCTAGGTCAGGCTTTTCTTCCTTATCGTACAGAAATGGCACCCTGGACCCAAACATATTAGCAAGAAAGAAAAACTCCAAGTATATACTGACCTTCAGAAATGTGTTCAAATAAATGTTCATTCCTTCTCATCTAGTAGTGTGAGATTCTTTTGCCTTGCGGGTATTTTGAATCAAAAAGAATTTTGTTTTGTCTCAGCTTTTATGTTGAAGCAGTCGGGCAAAAAGTCAGCAGGATGGCCACAGGCTGACTCAACTCCCAATGACTAGGAAAGAACACCCACTCACGCACACCTCCTTACTGAAGGCCAGGCAAGAGTAGCATTTTTATAATAGCGCACGAACTGTGATTAGGAGCGATGAAGGTCATTGCTGCAATGTAAATAACACTCCGACACCTCCTCCCGACCCCCACCCCTGAGCACAAATACACACTTTATCTTTCTGTCTGAAGAGTCCATCCGTCAGCCAATTCTAGAGTTTCAGCACAAATGACCTAAAGACTTAAATTTAGCTTAACTGTACTCTCCTGAGTAAAATTCCTCTCTATGTTGGCTTTGGTCAAACACACTTTTTGGTGATAGTCATAATTCCTCTTCTCAAATAAGTGCTTTCTGATCGTAATTATAGTCTGATAAAATTCCCTGGTTGAGAGTTTTAATGAAATAAAGTTTAGTGACTAGTTTGGCAATATTTCATAATGTCACTGTATCACTGTTATCCCATTGAGCGTCAAATTACTCGAGCAGGCACCACTGACGTCTGTATTCCTTCCAGCCCTGAGATTTTAGCAGCCTCTTCTTACTTGTCTTTTCCCAGCAATTGGAAGCTCTTTCAGGGTCAGGGGAATGAGACCTGTTTTCGTTACTGTATTTGGTATATCGAATACGCCATGGGGAGCTTGCCAGGCTCTGCCCATGCAGGCAGGATACTCTTGGTATCTTGCCGGGCTCTCCAAGAGGTATAAATGGGTAGGAAGTGTCTTATAACATTTAGACTAACTTTTTCCAACTTATTTTATCTAATTTATTAGATTAATTTAAATTATGAAACTACTATTTATTTTTTGTTGCATCAATATATACTTAGAATTATTCTCTTTTGAATATTTTCTTCAAAATAAAGCCTACAATCATATAAATAAAACAATAGTGGTATTAACTGAGACTCAATAGAATAGCAACTGGCATCTGAAATTCGAAACTTCGAGAAGGTAGATAATATTTCCGTTCTCTTGACATCATGAAAGAATCATGCACTGAATCCTCAAACCTGACTGTCATGTGTATATTACTGCATGTTATTTATTTGCACAAAAATAAAAATAAATATTGCCTCATCTTTAAACCAAGTGAGATTTCCTGTGGTAATCACTGGGTTTGTATCCTACATGTCTGTGAGCAGGGATGTTTGCTCTGTGCTCCTATAATCAGACTCCTGTATCTACAGCAAACTGCCAACTCCACCTTCACACCATGAAGTATCACTAGGCAGCTGAGAATGCCATCAGATCCAACAAACTCCTAATCCAACTACTTAGTCCAACACTCATTGCCCTCTGACATTCTGACACATGCTTATTGCTCTCCAATTTCACTTGTATTTGCTTTTGAAAATCCTGTCGAAGATTTAATTTTAGATAAATACACTTCCCTGAAGCAGATGACTTATGAACCACAAAAGTTACCATGAAGGAGTCATTTTATTTTTTAGATCAGTTTATTTCTACTTTGTTAGTGCAGAAAGCAGGTGGACAGAAGGAACTGCTTTGCTCATGGGAGGGGGAAAGAGTTTTCTGCATCTACCAGAAGCCCACATCAGTAAGTGGCCCAGCAAGATCTGTGAGCCCAGGATTAAAAGCCTGTTGAACTGTCAGACATTTTTAGACACAACTTGCTGAAAGGTACCATTTGTCAGTCAACATACATTGGTTTCAGAAAAAAAGTCAGATGCTTTATGGAAAGGGTCCCGCCCAGAGAGTACAGACTTTATCAGGTCAAGTCTTTACAAGTACTAACTTCCCTGTCAAAAACTCCCAGCTTCCAAATCCTCCATTCTGTCAACTAAAATATGAGCCATAAAAACTAATAATGCTTTTTCTGTATTTTGCTTGAAAATACTGACAAAGAAACATAAAAAAAGGAGCATTTTGTTTCAATATATATTCGGGAGAAGAAAAATTCCCCCTTAGTATTAGTTTATACTAAACAACAGAGATTATATATGATGTAAATATATATATTAATCTTACATAGTTATGTTTGTGTTAACACATTTGTTTATTAAAAATTTAAACCATTCTATAAATAAAAACAGAAAAATATGTTCCCTTCTTAAAATTGAGACATAGCAACCAATCAAAATACTTATGGAAGTTAGAGGATATTTAAATAATCCTTCCATCTTTCACATCAGGAGATTTAATTAAAAAATAAGAGGGAAATATTAGTGCATTTCACTACTAGAAGTGATCACAGACTTCTCTGGAAGGAGGAGAGAATCCTATGGAATAAATAAAGTAAAATAACGTAATTATGTATGAGGTGGGATGCAGGAGGTTCCAAAGTAAAACGTCTCTAAATAGTTCATTTTTCATTTCATTTCATCATCCTGTTAATCGTCGATTGCCTCGAGCAGGCCCCAGTAACGTCTCTTTCATCCTAGCCCTGAGATTATATTCAAGGCTCTTTAGGAGAATGAGACCCATCATTGTTACTGGTATTTGGCATATTGGGTACGCCACAGGGAGTTTGCCAGACTCTGCCCTGTGGGCAGCTACATTCCATAGCCTGCAAGTTTGTCCAAAGTAGGAATGAGATAATAAGATGTCATAAAGAAAAGTTCTGATAAGATGACACGCGGCCCAAATAGTTCATAAATCAGAATATTTTAGCCCTCCTCAGAGATATCCTGTGTCCATTACCTTCGTTGCAGCATCAAAGCAGATAAATCCTGTGCTGAAGTCAATGGTGAGTCCCATCAGGTGACTTTCAAGCACACATGCGTATGTCTTACACTAGATGGAAGAAAAAGAGCCATTATTTTGTCATGTGATTGGCACAATGTCAGAATGAATAGGCAATATTTAGAATAAATATTGCAATATATATGCAATAAAAACTTTGCATTATAACTTCTGAGTATGTTCTGTATAAATAGCTAACAACATTAGCAACAGTCAAATAAAGGAAGGGATATTATCAGTCAACCAAAGTTATTAAGATAGAATGTGAGGCGTTTTTTCGCCATCAAGAGAGATGAAGGGCCTGGGATGCAATTCTGGTTCGTTTGACCTTATCTGGACTTTAGCAACACTGACAACTTTTCTGGTATTGCCAATACTACAGCTGGCATGAAAAGTTTAGGTGAAGGCAAAATTATCTAAAGTTGTCATGCCTTGAAGGTAAATAGCACTTGCCTAAACTAAAGAATCAAGTATTACACTACTGCTTCAAATCTTGGCGTAGTCATTTATTTGGTACTCTGTAAGGATGTTCTCAAAGCGCACAAAGAATCTTAGGCAAAATATAAAGTTTGGCCTGAAGAGTCTCCATATGGTTTTCTCTGTGGAGCAGACAATTTCCCAAACACATCGACAACTTTCCTATTATTTGTGCAGACCTATTAGTTCCTCATAATTACTGCTTATCTTTCACAGTAGTATAAAAGTATAGAATAATATTCATGTAAATATCTGAGATACTAACAAACACAAATAATAATACTTGTAAATTATTTTCATAATGTAAAAATTTGGTGCTTATAGGTAACATGATGCATTTTATGTCCATATGCCAGTTTTATGTGTATTTTATCATAAAATGTAGTAGAACAGTCAAAAGATGAAAGCATTTGTAATATATTACTGATATAGGATGAAGAGACAAAGAGAGTTAAGGCAAATCTTCAAAATAAATCCAGGTATCACAGTTGTCTTTTTGTAACTATGTGTAAAATATACTAAATCACATTATGATTTTACTAATGTTATACTAAATGTAGCAAGTAACCTTCATCAAAGTATTCTCTTCACATACTTTTTGAATAAAAATTTATAATCATGACTTTTTTAGAGTTTAATTTCTAAGAGAATCATCTCTGAATTTCAATTTGAGTGTTTCTATTTGATTAATACATTTGAGTAATATTTGACCATCATTTATGCTAGCATCTATCCATTCTTACTCCATTAGAACTATCAATATTAAGGAATGTTCAAGGTTGTCACATTTTCTCTTATTTAGACAGAATGTTCTGCTATTTTTAAATCAATCACTTAAAAATAAAGTCACGCAAAAATTATTTTTACAAAGTATATTTAAATTTATCCTAATTATCATTGCAAAGGCTGCAGTTTCTAAGAAATTTTGCTCTGACTTCACACTTAAGAAATTATATTTAGGAAATATCTGTTGGATATAATTATATTTAGTAGTTGTAAAATAGTATAATCCCAAACAACTCTATAACCTGATGTTGGGAATGATAAATACTCACTTATCTATTTCAACACAGTGAGACCAAACCTAAGAAAACATACAAAAGGAAGAAAGTGATACTGGCTTCAAAAGTAAGATGAGTTGATTTTATTTTATTTTACTTTTTGGTTTTGTTTTTGGGCCAACCTCAACTGTGCTAGGGGCTTACTCCAAGCTCTGTACTCAGGGATTACTCCAGGCATGACTCAGGGGACCTATGTGATGCCCAGAGTTACACCCAGGTCAGCTGCATGCATGGCAAATACCTTGTCCACGGTAGTATCTCTCTGACCGTAATAGGATGTTTCCAACAGGATCATCTAAGAAAACACTGGCAATCAATCGACCTAACAGTGTGGAAATGTGGAAACCAAGAGAATCTTGGTTGATGACTCCTTTGCAATACTGTTCAAATTTCATGGGTCTTTGAAGAAGCCAGATGGAGGCAAAGGTTTCCATCAAGAAAAAGCACTGTGAATGAATGCCTCTTCTGCAAACCACAGCACCCAAAAGGAGAGAGAGAGAACAAAAGGGAGTGCCCTGCCACAGAGGCAGGGTGGGATGGGGGGATGGGGGTGGGAGGGATCCTGGGAGTGGTGGGAGTGGAGAATGGGCACTGGTGGTGGGATGGGTACTTGATCATTGTATAACTGAAACCCAAGAACAAATACTTGTAAGTCTACAACTGTACCTCATGGTGTTTCACTAATTAAAAAAAAGAAAGAAAGAAAAAGCCTTGTGAGTGAAAGAAATTGTTCAGATTAAAATGAAATTATTCAGAGTAAAATCTCATGATTAGAGATCAGGAAGTGTCTTTGTAACCAATTAACATTACAACGTCTTCTATTTTGCTTTGAATGGAATCATCTCTCTCTAAGAAGAGAAATACTGTGGATGAGTGACAGGAATGAAGGATTCTGCTGAAGAATTGAAGATGCTTCTCCAAGCCGGCCGACTGTTCTTGGAAACAATGGTGAACCACCTACCGTCCCTTCAGAGTTTGGGAGAGTCACAGTCGAGTTCATAGGGAAGCCAATATTGGAGCATCTTTTGGAGCGTGATGCACTCACCTGGATGCGCTCCACCTCCAGGAAGGCGGCCGTCTGGAAGGCACGCTCCCACTGGGCCAGATCCGAGTCCAGCTCCACGGCAAAGTAGAGGTCCTCCCCCGCCTCGGACTGCACGGTGAAGCAGTGCCTCCGCCGGTCCAGCAGCTCGCTGTCCTGGTGAGAACCTGGAGTTACACAGGCTGGCAAGACCAATCCCCATCACCAACATAGGGCATCTCCTGCTCACCATCCCAGTGAGAACCCTGTAGATGGAGTTCCACAGCCTGGCACAGATCAGTCCCCATAACCAACACAGTGCGGCTCCTGTTCTCGTTACTAGAGGATGGGGGGTACCACAGTGCGACCCCTCAGCTCTTAGGAAAGAGAAATCCTAGGACTTGCTGTTGTATTGGTGGAGTCCCTGGCAAGATGCTGAGGTTCAGGTGTGTGGGAGGAAGGAGGCAGAGAATGAGCCCTCTCGTGGGTGGGATACACAGAACAACATTGAGGAAGGGACAGATGGCCCAAGGAAGCACAACTGGAGAGCTGGAACACAGAACTGGGTTTACCAAAGAGCTTAAGGACCAGGAGGACCTGGAACATTAATGGGGGTGTTGACAGCCTATAGATGGGCGTTAGGTATGCAGGACTATCATTAAGAATCTTGCAAATTTAGGGAAAATATTTAGTTTTATACCTCTAAAAATGGACACAACCAAAATTCCAGTCTAAAAATCTGATCATGGCCATACAATAGAGGTTAGGATTTCTGGCTTTAGTTCTTACAAGAATTTAACCATGAGAACTGCTTTCTCGCAGATCAGGAGGGCAGCACACAATCTCCCTTCCTTAAATTGCCCTTAAGATAAATCAGTAATACTTGTGATTGCCTATGAAAAATTTAAGAGCCTTCAAATCCCGATTTCATTGCAGTGCTCAGGAGGGAAAGTTGGCTACTGCCAACACTTTGCTAACTGACTTCTGGCTCAGGGTGAGGGCTGAACCTTTGGGACTTTCAGGCTCTGAGGAGATGTGTAGGATAACATTGTTTTGTCCTTCCTGCATAGCCTCAGGTAGTTTAGGTTTATTCGGTTGCTCCCATCACAGTTCCTCTGTGTTTATTTGTAACTTCTTTGTTTGTGTTCTGTTGACTTGTAAATACTCTCTTCTCCCTATGTTCTTTGCATAGTTTATTCAGAGCAATGTCCTTTTTGAATGGACACAAGAAGACAGTATATGCTATGCTTTTGTAATGTCACTCTCAGTGATATTTCCCTCCTGGGCATCTGTTCTCTCACCTAAGCCTCAGCTGCCTTTCCTAGTGCCCCCAAAAGCAAGGTCCTGACTAGAGACTGGATGGAACCAGGGCAAGCGGTAAGCTATGTGCTACCCTGGCATCGAGATGGGCCTGGCCAAGGTGCCTTAATGCTTAACTGTAAGTTCAGAGCTTGGTCATGGACAAATGCTGTCATGATCCAAAAAGTAATAACTAGATTTGGACCCTGCTAGGGTTAGGAATGATTCATCTGGCCTGAGCTCTGTAGTCTGAGTCTGTGGCAAGATGTTCCCAGGAGAGCTGCCCTACAAGTCTCAGTGTGTCTCTTACTGTGTCATAGAAAAATAACTAGTATTAAGATGTTGATAAAGTTATTGGACTTAGGAAAGAAAAAAAAAAACACCTTAGGAGGTATTTTGCCCTTTGTCAGTCAGGAAGGGCTTTGGAATACCCCAGGTAGTGTTTAGGCCCTTGAGCCTGGAAGTCAGAAAGGGCTTTCTTAGGTTGATTTGGCTACTTGATTGGGTTCAGCGTAGGCCAACAGTGCTGGGGAGTTGGAGAGACAAGAGAGATGGAGAGAGGAGAGAGACAGAGCAGGGCAGCAAGAGGAAGTGCGGAGAGAACAGCGAGGGGGACAGAGAGAGAAGGATGTAGAAGAAGAATACAGGAGCAGGCACGTGGAGAGAGAGATCCCAGACTGCGAGATGGAGTACGGAGAGATGAGCGGGAGAGACAGGAGGAGAGGGGAATGACAGGAGTGTGAGACTAGAATGGGAGGCTCAGAGAATGGGGCAGGCGTGTGGGGAGAATCGAATAAACGTCAACTGATCAACCAACTGGCTTGGTCCTCGTTTCCTCTGCCTTCTGCCCCACGGCCCGGGCTGCCCTTGCTGGGGGAGCGATCCAGGCCCACCCGAACCTGGGCAGTGAGGGGGAGAGTCGCCGGGGCCTCTCTCTGGTCACCCCTGGAGATTTTATAGAGAGAGGGAAGTCCCAGACACTGATAAGGCAGGCAGAGAGATGGGGAAGGGCGCCCTGATGCCAACAGCAACAGATTTCCTAGAAATAACAAAATCAACAGCCCTGAAGCTGCGAAGAAGCCCACTGTGCACAAATAGGAACTTGAGGCATGATAAGACAAGACTTCAGTTGGCACCAGTGACAGACCCAGTGAAGGTGGGACCCGCCAGAGATGGCAACTTCAGAGAGACAGAGACTGCAATTAAGGACTTGACGGAGAGTCACCGAAAACTTCAAAACTGTCCGTTTGTGACAACACCTGATCAACCCCCACCTCTGGCAGACAAGTCGAGAGCAAGGCACCCCTGAGAATACACAGATGCAGAAGCTGTTCTTAGAGGCCAGGCCAAGCTCGCCTTTGGAGAAGCCTGAGTTCTCTCTGCAGCAGATTTCTCTCTGTCTCTGTCTCTGTGTCTGTCTCTGTCTCTCTGTCTCTGTGTCTGTCTCTCTCTTTCTCTCTCTCTCTCTGTTTCTCCCCCCCCACCTCCTTCCTTTCCCTTCCTAAAGACCCTCCAAATAAAATCCTGAAATTCTTTTCTGCAAGGCGAGACAGGAACCCCATAACCCTGGGTCAGGCCTAGGCCCAACTTTCCTTTCCTGCAAAGGGAAAATCCTCGCTCCAACCTGACTCCCCCACAAATCTGGTGGCGGAGATCAAGCCCCAGACCCAGCAAACCAAGGGCTTTCAGGTGTGGCTTGAGGGTCCCCCCAATGGGCCTGGCAGGGCTTGGCTGCCCACACAGGGGCTCATGGCAGACTTAGATCAGTCCTAGGTCCTAGTCTCCCCTGACCAGGTGCCTGAGGAGGATCTGACTGAAAGTGATTGCCTGTCTCCTCCCAGCCACCTAAGCCACCCCTGGGCGCCCACTCAGTACTGCACTGGTGCTACTGAGTATCAGCACCCACACAGCTGTCTCTGCAGCTCACGTTCCGTATGGTCTGAACTGAGTTGATTTCTTTGATCTTATATGAGCAGGAGCTTATTTTATATGATAAGTAAAAACCAATTTGAGTTTTCAGTATGAATGGTGTTGGCATTCAAAACATACACGATAATTGTGTATTAAAATTACATTTTGTTCTATCAAAATACTCTGACAGCAATTTATTGGTCCCATTAAAGTTATTCAAATAATGTGTTCAGACATCAATGTATATTCCAATTTAAGAGATATTAAAAATATGGACGTAAACTTGATGAAACAGAGCTTGGATTTTCGTGTAGTATGAAAAGTAGAGTTTAATCATTATATATATATATATATATACATAAAGATCATCATTAAACAAAATATTGAAATTAATTGCCCTCTTTGGCAAGTTTTTTCAAAATAATAAATTACTTTATAAAATCTTCCTCTTTGACTCTCTGTATGTTTAAAAGTACTAAAGAAGAGATCGTGAAAGGTAGATGCATTTACTGTTGTAGAATGTAGCTTTGTAATTGCTCCAAATAAAAGCTCAGAAAATATAAAGGAAGACAACCTCTTTATATTTAATACTTTTTATTTGCTTAGGAAATTAAAAAATTAAAGCTTACTATTTCAAAAAATACAACCTAACGAGAAGTAAAATGACAAATACTCCAATAATAAGTGGGATGCAAAGTGTGGTAGTTGGATCTTAAACAGTGTAGAGAGACTTTCAGTGACACATTAAATAATCACATAAGTAAATATGTCAGTACAGATTATTATAAGTGGTATTATCAAAAGTATGTCCCGAAATATATGGAATAGTCAGGAAATTGTGTTCCTGGAAATAAATTTTAACCAGTGCTTGAAGAAGAGGGTGGAAGTTAAACTATTTTAACTCTGCAGAGGGATAAAACTTTGCTTCCGGTTTTAAGACAAAAGGGTAACATTGCAGAAATTCAAAGATGAGAGATTGAGGTTATGTCTGGGAAAGAAGACAAGTCATGAAATTTGGACTTTAACATAAACATAAAGATAGTCAGTACATTGAAAATTTCAGTAAATTCCTTGATTCTATATATATTCACATATATGCATATATATATATATATATTACAACCTCAATTTTAGACATCTAAGCTGATAGCACTGAGCAAAAAATGCAAATAAACACTGAAGCCCTTCCAGAAAATTTGCCAAATTTATGGCTAATAAGATGGGCCTAACTTTTCCAGTAATATAAAATTATTATAGACTGTAATAAATATCTATAATAGATTGCTTTATATTAAATATTTCATAATATGCCTTTTACCATAGAGGTTTTTTTTTGTAGGAGTACTGCTATTTATTCAGCCACTGATTAGCTGATTGAATTGTGCATGAACTCCACATTACCATAGAGTTTAAAAGTAATAATTCATTTAAGAATTTTTGTTCTCTTGGAAAGCCTTTCATGGACCATCTTAAAATTGAATTACATGGGAAATAGCTAAAACTCAGGAAGAAATTACCCAGCCCTGAGGTGGCCCAAAGGCCTGAAGGCCACATCCCTTTGAGGCTCAGAGCCTGAGCTCTGCAGAAGGAACAAGCCTCGACGGAGAAGAGTGATCCCCCTGGAGAGTTCAGGAGGGTCTGACGGTGACAGTGGACTTGACAGGCCCACCCTGGCCTCAGGTTTTTTGTAACCATGCCCAGATTCTTTATGTGTGCAGAGAACTCCAGGCCAGGAAAACGGAAGGATTTGTATTTAACCTTCCCCCAAAACCAGTCTCCACATTTTAACCACCAGGAGAAGTCTGCCTTCTCTCAAACACCTAATCTCTCTCTTTTTTTCCTCTTCCTTCTCAGTTTTCTAAATTTATCTTGATAAAATAATTCGATTCCCTACATCTACGTACCTGTATTGCAAACCGTAACACCCCAAAGGAGAAAGAGAGAGAAAGAGGGAAGGTGCCTGCCAC